TTCAGGCGGAGACGCTGCATAACAAACATAGATAAATTTTATGATCACAAGGTCACTTTGCCGAATGGACTCTTCATCAGTGACTTGAGGATCATGAGCTTCTCAGTTGTGAGCACTAGATCCAATATGGACGGTTCGTTTGTTGCGCCGAATCTATTGGGCGAGGTGCCATGACTGTAAAAGGGAACAGTAGCGACAAGTTCATGCAAGTCTGCTTTGAACTGTTCATTAAGTGATGCCCATACCTCCAGACGGTGTGCAGTGAAGTCACTGGCGATGAGAATGTGGCTGTATCTATGGCGTGTTACCATGTTCAAAGCACGTATCAAGCTGGAATCTATTTCCGGTGTGGATGTTGGTGTTCGTTAAACGACAGCTACGAGACATGCATCGTTGTGTCTTAGTCGGAGACGACACCAGAGTGAGTCGTTAACATGAGTTTCCGGGTCATCAAATACTGCGCATTCCAGGTCACTGCGGTCGTAGAGAAGGCAATCACCTCCTCTGCTGGAACGATCATTCCGGATGGGTCACATCCCTGCTAACTCAGTTTCAGCTTCAGCAACTTTTGGTTATCCAGTTTTCGGTCATGGAAATTACGTCCTACGCATTCGCGACCTGACGTAGCCGAAGTTCGGTAAGTTTACTGAGGAACCCTTGGGCGTTAGTGTACATACATAAATATTTCTCAGACTCCTGCAATGTGTCGGAGCTTGTGCAATTCATCCCTTAAGTTTCCCCAAGGTGTGAGCGGCCGGCGACTACTCGTTTTCTCGGTGTGTACTTGGCGACTGGTTCGAAGTCATATTTCTCGTCTGCCTACTTAGTCCCAAAGCGAACCTTCTTCGTACAGCGCAAGGTGTCTGACCACTCATTTCATCGGTAGGTTGCATAGGCTCATCAGACGCACTGCTGGCGCGCTCTTCCATTACAGTTCCCATCGCGATTGGTTCTTGGGTGAAAAATTGTCTCTGGAAGGCATATCGCTTGATGCATTCAGCCGAAGCTCTGACGGTAGCCTGCAACGAAACACGCACCAGGTTTTCAGTAGCCGTGCTACCATTTGTTTTAATCGTAGGACTGCCTTCAAAAATCTTGGGCCACATCCTGTGTAGTTCGGTAAGCTTCGCATCTGTGACACCGACTTCGCAAATATGTCATCCAAGGAAAGTGTTTCACGGATAAACAGCCGGTTCTGGGTTTGAAGTCATTTCGTACAATTTGACTATTAGCAGAGACAGTGGCTACTAGAATCACTTCAGACGCGTCAGTTACGGTAAATACAAAGAAAGCTGCCATTGACAAATTCAGAAGGTAAATAGGTTGAAATGCGGTCTTGGCAGGCTATTGATCATTACCGTTTCACTTTAGTTGCATATCTCTGACGGCAGTCACATAGTCACCAAGTGGTATCGGAAACCATTTCAACGTTGCGTGAAATACTTCTAATGGGACTTTCAGTAAGAATTCTTTGCCTAACGTTGTATTGCGGACAAAATGTAAAAGTCTAACGTATTGCGCCGGTTGGTCGGTTTGGGCTACAAAAATGAAAAGAAAAGAATATTAAGCTTTGAAATAAATGGGAATATCCGTAGCTCGGGGTGTGGATGCGGGTTTTGAGCTGTTCTTCGAGTTAAGTGATTATTGTGCAGACGTTTCGTTGCCTGACTAGCAAACATCATCAGTGCGGCTTCAGCAGCCTGGCTCACAGTGCCTCGTAAGCGCTTTCAATGTCCAAGTGTTTATTGGTAGAGTTCTGCTTTGAATGCCAGGCTTCAATGAACTCACGTGCTTGCCGGCTTTCAGCCCTTCCGAGGATACTGGCATGCTCTATGTCGATTTGATGGTTCTCAGCATCCATATGCACGGTAGCCTTGTGCCAAACCTTCTCTCAGTCTGTCCCACGTAGTATTTGTGGCAGTTCCGGCAGCAGATCTTATAAATTGCACCAGTTTCTTCCTCTTTGCTAAGTTTATCTTTCACTTTGTAGAGTTTATTGCGAATTGTTTCCGTTGGCTGGTGTGCAACTTTGTCTCCAAAAGGCAATAGAAGCCTCGCTGCCACTTCAGAAATTCCGTTGACAAAGGGCAGTGTTGTTCTCTTTACAGCTGTTGCATTTGTCTAGGTGTGTCGAGCAAACAATTGTGGTGCGATGTAGCGTAGAATGAAGCCATTCGGGTACGAGTTCCGCTTGAACAGATTGAAGAGATGATCTACCCTTTCTCCTTCTCAGATGCGGAGCACTACGATATTTTTTGTGTTGGTTTGAAAAGGTTTTGCATGCAGCTGCGTTTGTGGGATACCGGATGATTGCTGCCGTAGTTGAGGATCTGGGCGGTACGCGTAGATTTTCGGTAGACTGTAGTTTCCAATCTTTCAGCACCATTCCGTCGTATGAGAACGTCTAAGAATGGTAACTGCTCGTTGTTCTCCTCCTCCCTGGTGAATTGGATGCCATCGAACACACTGTTGATTAGTTCGTGTGTTTCCTCCAATTTGGAACGTTTGAGGATAAAGAACGTGTCGTCTACGTATCGTACCCAAAGTTTTTGTCTCTCGATCGGGAGTGCTATTTGTTCCAGTGCACTGCATCACTGCCTCGGCTACCAGACCAGAGATCGGTGATTCCATTGGTGTACCTCTTATCTGTCCGTAAATTTGGCCATTGAAAGTGAAATGTGTTGTTAAACAGATTTCAAATAAGTCCATCATCTGTTTGGGGTCGAGTTTACTGTTTGTATCAGACGACATGTGCTCCTCTAGCAGGCGCGTCATTGTTTGTTTCGCCAAACCAATATCGATGGAGGTGAACAAGGCGGTAACATCGAAAGAGACCATTATTTCGTTTCGTTCAGTGATTGTGGTTTAAAGTTTCCCAAGGAACTGTTCTGCTGAGTTGATCGAGTGTTCCGATCTCGCGATTAGTTGTTTTAACCGTCTTCAGAGCTCCTTTGAAAGCCAGTAATTTGATGCTCCGGGTAACGACATGATGGGGCGAAGCGGCACTCCGCTTTTGTGTTCTTTAGGTAAGCTATAGAACCACGGTAGTACCGAGTCTTGTGGTCGCATCCTCTTGTGATCCAATTTTGTGATTTTCCCCACTTGTTCCAGTTTTTGCAGAGTGTGTCTGATTTTGCCTTCTAAGCGTTTTGTCGGGTCTTCGTTTATCGGCTTGTATGTGTTGATATCACTGCGTAGGTGTTGTGCTTTCATCATGTAATCAGATTTGTCCATTATAATATTAAGCAGTGAACAAACCTTGGTAACAAACTTCCAATCAAACATTTGCACTACTGAATGGTTCACATATGGGTATTTCCAGTATCCAAGGTTACCGTCTTTGGTTTTCCAGAGCACAACTGGTGATGACTGATACGGTTAGTTTACCGAATGTGCACATGGTTCACGCGTGTTAAATGATGTGGTGTAATACGACCAGCTAACGTAGAGAAGGAAAGTACATCTTCTGGTAGGGATTCCCATTTGCGGTAAATTTATAGCCAGAAGTAACTCCCTTTACATTTCAGTTGGTAGTGCTTTTCCGTCAGTTTGAAATTATGATGTCTTAATGTGGCGTTATGATTGATATTTTGCGGTTATTATCACGAAAGATTAGTGTTGCCTAAAATCTGGTAAACCATGATAATATCAGGACGTAAACGCCCATCTCCTCGACTGAGAATTTCTAGCCATCTTAGGCATTGTTCGCATGGTAAGTGATGTAACGCGTTGATCATTTAGTGACTCCACGTTGCGGAAGTGTCAAAACGGTGAGCTCCTGCTCCTGTCATGTCAGTTGTGCTATAATTGCGTGTACCAGGCAAGGGACCTTGAACGGAACTGTCAACCTTATTTACCGCTCCGAAATGTGAAAAGGTAACGCAATGTCTAGAATTTGCTTCGAAAGACCACTAGTCACGTATCTGAAAACCTTGCACCACGAACGTCGTAGAACTGATATATGACGGAAGCTGCTTATCATAAGGTAGATCTATCATTGAGGCTTGAGGATGATAAGTGTCGCACTTTCAATGAGGACTTAGCCACCATTGGCCAGTGTGTTCCAGGCTTTTATTCAAACTGTGGTAGACTTTGGCGGTAAACACCAGACACGAACAACGCAATCGCTTTAAGAATTTTAAGCATGACTGTGCCGAGTTCGAAGATTCTTCATAATTACGCCTAGTTTTCCTAACCTGTGAAGCAATAGCATGCCGTCTCCTCTCTTTCGAACTCATCAACAACACGCATTCCGTCGGATCGGACTGGTGATAACAATGGTGCCCATCTTCTATCTAAACAGTGGGGTAAAATCGCTAGACCATGGTGCATCTTGGCAGAAGCGATTGTCAAGTAATTAACTAATTAAGTAATTAGGGTCCTGTAATGCGACGTATACCTTTCTACTTCAAAAATTACAGGGGCGATTGCTCGTTTATTAGCCGCTAGCTGGCCGACAAAACACAATTCTGTAATTACTACAAGTTGGCTAGTTCTAACCATACAACCTCATGAGAGAATAGCTGAGATGTAGCAGAAATGGGTTTTTGATCGCGGTGGATGTCGCGATTCCTTGTGAGACAAGGGATTTCGTCAGAGTCCCGTAAAAGTAGGATCGCCGAGTCATGCTGCACTAGGAAGTAGCGAATGAACAAAACAGCTGTCCAGTGTTTAGCACGCGCATAGATGGCGGCTATCGATTTGGGTCGACTGTGCGCAGATTGGTTGTTCTGCCGAACTAGCTTGTTAAACACGCCTCACATCCTCGGAACTTTCAGCTTAGTTTTCGTGAGCCGTGTACTGTGGATCAGTGGATCAATAACTATCTGCTATTCATATTGGTTTTGTTTACCGGATTGCGATCGAGAAGCCCTGCATTATTTGCTTTCGTTCGGCGGTTATATAGTTGGGTACAAGCCGGAGTTTTTTCTTCATTTTTGACCCTCTTCATCCAGTACCTCATTTAATCACATACATCTCTGTCGCTCCTTGTTCCATAGACAACTACGTGATGGACGACGTGGTTTGCCGTGGTGACGAGGCACATCTGGAAGACTGCACATTCTGGTCCGAGCACGATTGTTTTCAACGTGAGGAAGCCGGAGTTATATGCATTGATCCAACACCGGTGCAATGGCAATACAACCCCAGACAACCCACTTTACGGCAGGTGGACCCGAAACTATCCGATTTGATGCGTATGGTCAGTGATGAAACACCAATAACCGTACTGTATGTGTGTGTGTGTGTGTGTGTGTGCTGAATCCGTGCTTTGGTGCTGAGGTAGCTGTGACGATAGTTCATTTAATTAGATCATTCCCACCGTCATCGTTTCCAATAGTTACTAGAAACTTGGAGTTTTAGTTGAATAGTCATGTTTAACTAAGAAATAGATAACTGACGGCTTCCGATGGATCAATGTTACGGAGCTCGACTGACTCCAGGACAAGTGGGTTTCCCATAGGATATTGCCACAAAGTATCAACAAATGTGCCTTATCAACATTCACCTTCTACAGGTTATGAAATAAGCTGCTATTCTTTCGAGCGATAAATATGAGGTTGTAGAAGGCACGCTTCGTTTTTGGCGGAGGACGTAAACAAATACTTGCTATCATTCAGTCCTTCTTCTCTAGTTCTGAGAGCATTCATGTGAGGTTATGACTTTAGTGTTCCCCGTCAGCTCTCATGTAGATACGTTTGGCGGCTAGGTCTCTTAGGCCATATTGTTCAGAATTAATTTGGCTACATTGTACGTGGACAGCTACCGGCGGAAAGACTATTGGTCTCTTCCGATACTCGAAACAACTATGATGTTTTGTAACAATCTCGATGTGGTGAAGTGAAACACAGTGTACATGATTACTTTACGCAAGTTATAATTTGTGAAACGGTCGAATGCACACTCGCTTGGATCAATTTCAGGGTGATGATGATGTTTAACATTCTAGACAGGGTAGGTTTCAAGAGTTATTTATGAATTCCGCCTTCTCGGTAACCAGTTCCCAGGGATGATTATGTCCTTATTCGCTGTTTAAAAGAAGTCGATAGTATTTAGGAAGGCCTTTTGATTGTTTGTAGACCAGAAGAGAGGGACGACTAGGGGGAGAATTTAAAGGGTTGCAAGTTTAATGTTATTTAATGGAATATGTAATATCGACCAAAGATATCGCCGTTCAGCTGCGCATCGGGACCATATCAGGTTATCAAAAACACCAGTTGGATTCGGCCTTTCTTGTTCTGATGTACTCATAAGGAAGTCACGACGGTCCGAAGCTGTTCACCGTGGCACAGCAGCATAAGCTGCTGACTGGCGGTGCAAGCAGTTAGTGATCATGGGTTCGAATCCTGATGGATCCGATGGATGCGCACTACTGACGATGCCCAACAGGCTGAAACTGCAGTTTAGCGCTTTTCCGGGCATGTGAACGACTATCTGATTTGGAATAGACTGCTATGGACCCTCAATTATTATTAACAAAGTCCCCTACTCCTGACTACATCAAAGAAATCCGCCCTGAGAGTTTCTAACTGCTATGTCGTACATCGCTGCTGTTCGTGAACGTCGTGTCTTTCGGGGTCAACCCTGTCCTCTGCAAGGTTCGTAAGTTGTATGACAGTGAAGAATAAGACGCGCTATATCGCAGTTTGGTTGAAAATCATGACGGTCCGAAGCTGTCACCCGTGGCCCAGTGGCATAAGCTGCTGACTGGCGGTGCAAGCCGCTGGTGGTCATGGGTTCGAATCCTGATGGATCCGATGGATGCACAATAGTGATGTGCGCAATAGGTTGAAACGGCAGTCCATTTCATTTCCGGAAATGTGGAAAACCATCTGATTTGGAAGCTGGTGCAGCGAACTTCAAGTAATTGGTTCCTTGTTCTGTTTACAAAGTAGTACTAAACCATAAGTGGTTGTACACATAAGTCACCAGTAACCAGCGCCGGATTAGCTCCGAAACAGTCGATGCGTGCCGTGCCGTTAACGCAGCGATCCACAAATTTGACGATAGTCGAATGGGAGCAACTCGGCGTACAACCGGTTATTCGATCGGTAGACAAACACTCAAACTTTTGATCGGGGATCGGATTAGACAGGTCATCAGGTAGAATTATTGGCCCTATGTGTCTACCGCTAATTATAATGCACATCTGGGTATGTGGACGACAGGAGAGGTGACCTAGAACCGGTCAAAGAGGCTTCTTAGGAGCGATGTATTAATAGGTGACAATACGGACGAGAAGGATCCACACAGGGCACACAGAGAGAGAGAGCATGCTGCAAACCGGATGGTTGGATTCATAAAAACGCGCACAAACGTGTGTGGGTCAGGGTTTCCCAGCGATACCTGAGTTTTCCATCGTTCGGCCATACACAATGGCTACCACATATATGCATCAAAGCGTTCTACCAAACTACCGCGTGAATTCCCATAATAAAAGCGCGGATGAAAATAAAATACACCCCTATCTGTAAGCATATTGTAGAGGGGCCGCTTCCAAGAATGCCTCGGGGGAGCTCTTCGGAGCGAGCTGAGAGCGGATCGCGAAAGACGGCTAGCGACGAGCCTGGGCCCGGAACTCCGGAGCAGGAATATGGGGACAGCGCAATAAATCAGACATATACGCCGCTAGCGCAGCCCACAGGACCGTGGCCGAGCCGATTGACACAGCCCAGAACAAGCAATTCGAGAGCTCTCGAACGACTTTTGGCCGATCAAAATCGGGTACAGAGAAGTGGAGATCGAGGCGAAAACAGGAAGGCGGGACTTCCAAGTCAGGGCTCCCGAGGCGAAACGACTGGCTCGTCTCTAACATCCGTACCTGTGTTGCGTTGTGGGACGGAAATCTAGTCGATATTCGATGGCGCGCGTGAGACCCTCAGGTGCCCATTTTCGGTGTGCAACAAACGTCTACCCCCCTGTCTTGTCGTTCTCGCTACACTGGTGCCGTGACCAATCGTGATGGAGTTGACCCGGTTGGAGCAATTTGCGGCCGGTGACGTGGAGGCGTGGCTCGATGAGTTCGACGGAATTGCGGCTTGCACGTGAGTGAGGGGATGCAAATTTGCTACTTGCTTTGGGCACACGGTTGAGTGGACGAGCCAAGGCGGTGTATCTGCTCACTCGAAAGGACAAACCCGGTTGTTCGTTCGCTGAGATGAGGGCTGCCTTGTGTGCAGAATTTGGGAAGGATCTGGAGAGAGAACGAGCACTGCAACGATTTCACGCAGCCAGATGGGACGAACAGGAGGATTTGATGGTGTTTTTCCAGCAGCTGGACAGACATCTAGCGATTGGGCTCCCCGAGTTAGAGGGCAAAGCAAGAGAGCGCCTACTGAAACAGCAGTTTATCCGAAGTCTGCCCAGTCCACTCCATGATCAGGTGAAATTGGCGTCGCTGGTGGGAGACAGCAAAGCGTTGGATCTGGTGACGGTCGCTCAGAATTTGTCGGAACGAGTGACAGTGAGAAGCATCCAGCATGCTGAGTTGGAACAGAAAGTAAATCGCCTATCCGAAATGGTGGAGCAGCTGTTGTCGATAGAGTCTTCAAGCACCACTTCACAACGCAATGTACGGGTAATCCGGAACGGTCGCCGCTGTTTCCGATGCAACCAGAATGGTCATGTGGCGAGATTCTGCACCATCGTCAAGGTGCCCCATTGTTTCTCTCTAGCCATGCCGAGTCGGTGGCGAGTACCAGTCCTGCAGGTAACTATAGAAGGTGTGTCTGTCCGAGCCATAGTAGACACAGGAGCGGCAGTGTCAATTACGAAGAGGTTCAATGGGGTTCCAGTAAACCCATCTTCAATCACGATGCAGACGGTCGGCGGGCATTCTTTGAAAGTGACGGGCACGCAGCGGTTACGAATCAGGATAGGAGAAACGCTCATCAACCATGACATGTTCATCGTGGAGGGGACGACCGAAACCATCATCGGAACCGACATCCTGGAACGGCTCGGTGTCACAATTGACCTGAAAAAACGATGTGGTGATCGTGGCGCACGAGACGATCGAGATAAACAAGGGGAGAACCGACCGGGTTGGTGCCCTCAAAGCCGTGCCTGATTGTCAGAACCGTGCAATACGCAACGTACTGAGCAGGTATGCCCACTTATTCACAGACGCGGAAGATGATTACGGATTTTGCAATTGGGTTGAACACCGAATACCGTTGATCCCAGGAGGACAATGCAAGCCAATCTTCAGACGAATTCCACAGAACACCTTGGTTGAGGTACAGAAGCAGGTGACCGAGATGGAATCGAAAGGAATCATCAAGCGAACGCACATCCCGTATTCATCACCCGTGCTATTGCCGAAGAAGGCCGACGTAACCTATCGATTTTGCATCGATTTCAGAGAACTAAACAGGGTAACTGTGAAGGATGCATTCCCGATGCCTCAGATGGAAGAAATTTTCTCAAGCCTTCACAGTGCGAAGCAGATTTCTCTGATTGATCTCCGCTCGGGATATTGGCAACTGCCGATCGCAGAAAAAGATCGCCACAAGACGGCTTTCAGTGTCAATGGCCAGCAGTATGAGTTTTTGAGAATGCCGTTTGGATTGTGCAACGCCCCGGCTACATTCAGGCGTTTGTTGCTGATGGTCCTCGCGAACCTGCAATGCGTGGTTGTGTACAGTGATGACATCATCGTCTTCTCTGAGACGGAACAGGAACATGTGACCAGACTTGGAGCAGTACTGCAGAGGCTAGATGAAGCTGGTCTGAAACTCAGTCGTAAAAAGTCGCAGATTGGCCAAAAGTCAAGTGTATGCTTGGGTCACATCGTGGGCAATGGTCAAGTCCATCCACTTCCGGAGAAACGCGAGACGATCAAGTGCTTCGCGAAATCAAAATCCAAGCGTCAGCTCCGTTCGTTCTTGGGAGTGGTGGTATATGATTCAAAGTTTGTGCCCCAGTTCGCAGAGAAGGTCAGCCCGTTGTTGTAGCTGCTTCGCAAGGACGTGCCGTTCATGTGGACAGCTGAAGCGGATCAGGCCTTTGACCATCTAAAGGCAGGCATAGCAGAAGCCCCGACATGTCTACGGCTACCCAATCCTGGTGAGTGGTTCACTGTGGCGGTCGACGCAAGCAACGTGGCAATCGGTGCGGTTTTGTCTCAACCGGCTGGGGTGGCGGAGTACACGAGCAGAGTGCTGACGGGGGCGGAACAGAAGTATTCAACAACGGAGAAAG